AAAAAAAAAAAGGATTTTGATTCAACAAATAGATGGCGAAAATAATGAGTACAAACTCAGGAGGCATAAAATAAAAAGGGAGAAGACGGGGACACCGACATGATAGTCCCCCCCCCCTAAAAGACTTTATACATACGTACACCAGCCCAAACCCATCTATCCATTCCTCTCCCATCTTCCACTCTCTTCAGTCGCAACGAGGAATACAAAACAGTCCAGCCGTGCCCAGTATCATCACGACGTAGACACGGCCGTCGACCCCATGCCCGCCCCCTCCCCCCGTCCCCCCCTTTTCCCCTCCTTCAGAGACCCGCATTCTATAGGGTAAACACTAGCAATCTATAGGGTAACCCGGGGAAAGTTATAGGGTAAACTAGAGAAAGTTATAGGGTAATCATGGTTTCCGCCCGCTGCCGCCGCGCCGCCCGAGATGGGCAACTCGAAAACAAAAACGGGAAACAAAAAAAAAAACCTTTGGGGCTGCTCTCCCACCCCTCCACCCCCCTTCCTTGTTGGGCACGATGGTGAATGTGTGAAGCTGACACCTGCCCTCCTGGGGGCAACTGACGCCCAGGCCCCGTGCCTCGTGCCGGCGGAGCCAATGCGTTCTCGTCAGCCGCCCCCTTTTTGCTCCATGGGTACGGGCCAAGGGGCATGGTGATGTTGGCGTCATGTGGCAGGGTGCTGGCGTCAAGTGGGGAGCGCGGCATGGAACATGGAACATGGAACAAAGCTTTCCGTTCTTCGGTGGCGGCGAGCCGCACTGCTGCTCCAAGATGGCGATGTCTCTCGGGAGGCCTTGGGGTCTTGGTGGTGAGGGGCAACATGGAAGAGGGGTCGAGGCATCGGTCATGTTGTTTTGGGGATTCGGGGACTAGCGCCGCCGCTTTAAGGAGTTGGCGACTGGACTGTACGACAGGTGCACGAACCCGGCTCGATGCCTGAAGTTTCCTGTGATCGCATAGATATATTTACTTGCGTCTTCTCATGGCTAGATGGAATGTCACTGACCAACGACCATGGGGTTTCTTCACCTCCATTGTGTCTTGCCAAGCACGTAGCCATTCGTGACCGCCAACGCTCAGTCAGGACCTACTGATCCTCCTCATCCTCTGACATCTCCAGAATACCCTCTCGTACGACCCTGACCCTGACCTTCATGCCCCACGCCTTCTTCCTCTTCTTCTTCCCCGCCCAGTTCTTCTTCTTGCCTGCCTTCTCCACGACCTTGAGGTTGTCCTTGAGCGCCTCCTTGTAATGTGCGCCGTCTTTCTTTTTCTTTTGCAGCGAGATGGTCAGCACGAGCCCTGGCTTGTCCTCCGACTTGCCCAACCGGTCTGACCACTCGGCCGAGAACAGCACCCTTGGCTTCGTAAGGTCAATCTTGCCGGCTGGGTAGAGACAGGTGATGAGGTAGCCCACGCGGCCCAGATACTGCGCCCACCAGACATCTTCCGGCGTCAGCGTCGAGCGCAACGCTTCGCGAAAGGCGACTTCTCGTGGCGGCAGCTCGCCTCGGTAACGCGCCTGGAGCATGAGCGCCAGCCGCGCCCTGTCCTGGTGCGACACGCCGTGCGTCGACGACATGATGCCCGTGCTCGTCGCGTAGAGCGCCGCTGTCGAGGCCGTCTCCTTGGACATGAACATGTGGAAATACATGACATTGGTGAACGAGTCGAGTACATGATTCCCAAACTCTGGTGGGAAGCGCCGGCTGGCGTCCGTCTTGGACGGCTCGGGAATGGCGTGCTCGAGCATCTTTTGCAGTTGGCGCCGGGAGCCCGGGGCGAACTGCTGCGTCGCGACCTCGAGGGGCGCCTTGCGGCGGACCGAAACGGGGAGCTGCGCAAATAGATAGCCCTCGCGGACACCGCCCTGACAGAAATGAGCCTCGCGAATGCCGCCGTAAGGGATGGCCTCGGCGACGACATTGACGAGAAAGGCTACGGCGGGGACCTGCGCGCGGCGGCGATCAGACACGCGAAAGACGGCCTTGGCAGCCCGCGCCACCTCCTTGAGCGTCTCCGTGTCCTGAAACTGCTCGCGACCGACGGTGTAGCCGTTGATGATAGAGATGGGATAGTGGTGGCCGTGGGATTGGTTGAGGTGCAACAGCAGGTAACCCCAGCCACGGAAACCGCCGCCGGAAAGATAGATGCGGAAGCCACCGTCACGACGAGCGCGCTCGATGAGGTCGTCGGGCACTTCTAGGCCGGAGAAGGCGTCGCGAAAGTTGGCGACCATCTCCTGACGAAAGTCCTCGACAGCGCGGCGAGCTTCGTCCTTATCCTTGTCCCTCTGGAGGTCGTCAAGCTTCTTCGTCAAGGCGGCGGCGCCGTAGGGAAAACTGAAGCTGCCCCGGGGGCTGATACGGACGTTTCCCTCGCGGCTGATGATCCAAGTGATCTGGGTACTGCCGCCACCGAGGTCCATGACAAGGCCATCCATGGCGAGGAAGCCGCTGGCGACCCCAAGTGCGCCAATGTGGCCCTCGTCTTCCTTCTTGAGCAGCTCAATGTCGAGGCCGGTTTCCGACTTGACAGCGGCCAGGAGCTCAGCCGAGTTTTCGGCGGCACGTGTGGCTTCGGTGGCGACGAGATGGATCTTGTCCTTCTTGACGCCAAAATCGTTGCACACGACGAGGAAGCGGCGCAAGAGCGAGCACACACGACGAATGGTGCGGCCCGGTATGGGGATCTTGGTGCCCGTCTCGGGATCGAACTGGGCATCGTACAGGGAGAGCCCGGACCGGTACATGAGGACGGTGGGCAGAATGCGACACATGCTGGCTGAGAGGTCCGAGATGGAGAAGCGGATGCCATTACTACGATCGCCAGTCAGGCGAGCTCCTGTACCACGCCAGCTTTCCGTCTACTATGTAACTCACCTTCCCATGTCGACGATGCCTACGAGCTTGTCTCCGTGACCACGCCAAGGTGGGTGACCGCCACTGTAAAAGTTTGTGGACATGTCGTCCTCGTGGCGGTCAGAATCCGAGTCGTCGTCGTCGCAAGCACAGGGCGTCAACTGGACGTCACCGCTGCTGCTGGCGCCGCTGCTACTCTCATTGTCGCTGTCGCTGCTGCTGGCCTCAGCCATCCTCAAAGAAAGAGGGGTCCTCTTGTCCATTGCATTCGCTACAGGTTGAGCCGAGGACAACGAATGAGTGGACGAATGTTCAAGGGAGGAGAGTTCGCAGCTGATCAGAAGGAGGCAGTGTCGAGAGAATACAGTGATGTCATGGCGCTAATGACACGGTGCGGCTGAACCGCCTCACG